ACTGCTCAGACTGAGAACACTGCTCAGACTGAGAACACTGCTCAGACTGAGAACACTGCTCAGACTGAGAGCACTGCTCAGACTGAGAACACTGTACTGCTCACCTCAGCAGCGGAGGACTGCAGCTCACGGAAGAACGATTAAAGCTGCTGGGTTACATTTTAAATACATATTAACGCGACGTGAAGCAACAAAAGGGCTCACTGATCATTGGCCAACAAGCTCCGGTTTCCGTCGTAGTTGTAAATAAACCGGATGTCTGACTAGTAGGAACCAGCCAAACCCGTGCAGAGCCGGGGGGGGGGGGCTGGGGGGCTCCTGCAGCGGCTCTGATCCGGACTGGAGCCTGCCTGATGACCTAACAGTTTCAGAATCATTGGTGTTTGAACCAGCTCATGCTGACATCACAATAACAATAACGGTGTGTACAAAAGTTCTGAGCACATGTCACATCCTCCTCTGCAGCTTTGCTTTGGCTCACAGCTTATTCCATGAAGAACAACCCAACGTTGCCTTCAGATCTCCACTCCTATTCAAACGTGAGCTTCAGCAGCATCAACATCCAACTCCACCTTCATTTGCACAAACAAGCGGTCCATCTTTCCAACAGTTTTTTCCAGTTGTGAGCAGTATAGAAAACAGGTAATTAAACAGTAGCCACGGCTTCCATGTGCATCCAGTAGCAGCAGTAACCAGCATCAGCTGAGTCCCAGCAGGTGTAAGCCTCACAGAATGAAAACACCATGGGTTGTGATGTGCTTCTCCATTTCATTCAGGTTTACTCACGGATAGGTGGTCCAGAGTGCACACATCCAGTGAAGCTTCGGAAGGATCTGGAAGTTAGATTTTCTGTTGACAGTGTAGTGTGACTATCAGATTATTCACTGAGGGAAGGAGGTAGGGCTCTGCCTGACACGCTGAGTCCAAGGAGGAAACACGACTCCATCACTGCTTCAACAGGGTCTATGTGACTCCTCCAGTGAAACACATTTTGGGACATAATTGTGAAGGCACTTGAAAGATGGAAAAATAGCTTTACAGGTCAACTTAGTGGTTACTTTGGGGGTCAACAGAAAATATCGGCAACCTACATCTACCCTCTGTCTCACACAAAACAAAATCCATAAGCAGACACTTATTTATTAGCCAATCACACACACACACAAACACACATATATCCATACACACACACACACATATCCAGACACACTCACTTCCTCTTGTGACAAGTGCTAAACACATCCCTGCCTCCACAATATGGAAGAAGTAAGAAACTTCCTAGAATAATAGGAATCAGAGGTTTTACAGCAGCTCTGTGTCTATGAAATCCTCTCTATCAGTGTACTCATTTTATTTTAAAAAACCCTCAAATTTAGAGTAAAGGGCTCATCAGATCAGGTTTAAACTCAGACTGCAGGGACAGCCCTCATGACTGTTTTCTGGGAGTCTTTATCTCTGAATGGCTGCAGCTTTTTGTTTTCAGGTTTAAGAGCTGAGAGTAAATGAGTCATTCCCTTAGTCTGCAGACTGCTGGCGTGTTGTTCTGCTGTCACATGATCCACACAGACACACCTGTACAGGTAGAACTGGTTTCCACATTCTAACGTTCATGAACTTGACGGAGGCGACGTTTTGCTCTCAGGCGAACCAGGATCTGAAGGTAAATAATCACTTTTCATTCCTTTAGAATGTTTAACTCGTTAAAATAAGATGTTTTAAATAGAAATCTGCATTAAATGGTCCATTCCAGAGTTCAATAAACAAACTTCAGCTCAGCTGAACTGGAGCGGAAGTGAATCCTCCATTTTATGAGCCTCTGGTCTGTAGCTTCCTGAAGCAGAATTTACTGGAACAGAAACACACGCATTTCTGTTCAGCTGTGGGGGGATTCTTCTGCACACTCTGAAAGAGAAAAGATTGATTCTGTTTTATTGAAACTCTGGATTCCAACCTCTTTAAACTCTGTGAAGTTAAATCAGGTAGCTTGAGCTCTTGGTGTCTTTGGAACATGTGTAAATCTATCAGCTGAATAAAAGTCCCTGAAATAACAGACGTTCTGTAAGGAGCTGAACAACAGCTGGTCTGTCAGCAGGACCACAAAGACAGAAAGAAGAAACCAACAAAAAAGGTTACATCTGGAACGTCTTCACTCTAAAAATAACTCTAAAAATAAAAACTCTGATACAATACAATGTAGATTAGGTCTTATGTTATTATTGTATCCTGTATTTAGCTGTTTTTATGCGTTTATTGGGGAGGTAAAATTCAGATTTTTAATCTTAACAAAAACAACTACAAAAAACTAACTGAAGCTCTGTGCTGAATAACATCCTGTTGTGAACATGGAAAACCTGTTCAGCTACATATTGTGTCTTAAGAAGCTCGGTGGGAAGTATTGGTTCTGTTTTTTGTATTCTCCAAAGTCCGACACGGCTCTCCGACTCGTCCCTTATCCAGCACTTGTCTCATCATTAGGCTGCCGCTTCTCCTCGTTTACTGACCTGCAGGGGCTATCAGTCAATGATGAAGCAACCCAACACAAATCCATTTGGATCAGTTTACTCAATCAGGAAAAGCTGCCTTTACTTCCCTTTTACTGTCAGAGTCTAATTAAAGACCTATTTCCTCTTAGTGGAAATGAGTCATTTATTTTGTAAAAAGCTGCTGCTGTTTTACCCTGCTACCTCACAGACACACCTCTACAGGTATTTCTGGTTTTAACATTTGAACTTTAATGAACCTTTTCCTCTCAGGTCAACCAGAATCTGAAGGTAAATGATCAGTTTTTATTCCTTTGATATGTCTGACTAGTTCATGTCAGCTGAAGAAAACAGACTTCTGGGTTAAATTGTCGTTCCAGTGTTTGAACAGAAACTTGAGGCAGGCTGAAGGGAAGCAGGCGGTGATGTGAGATAACAGAGATCTTTCTGTCCCAGAGTCCCTAACAGCTGGACCTCTGCCATGTTCAGTTCATTTCATCCAGGCCTGTTAGATGTGGTCTGCTGGATAAAATATGTGGATGATCATGAGAAGGACTGAGGAAAAAATACGAACCCGTTTGATCAAAAAAGCATGGCCCATGTTGGAGTGGCCTTTGTGGAGGCTTCTACCTTTAGCAGGTTAGGGTTAGGGCTAGCTATTCCATCAAAGAAACTGCATCAAAACAGTGACATGTTTAGTAGACACTTTGTTTCTATTCAAATGCAGCATGCTATCACTATCTAAGATATAAAGACCACCAGAGGAGTGTTTCACGACAGCAACTGGCCATACTGGGAATTTATCGATCCAGGATCAAGTACCCACAGGGCCTTCATCTTAGATGATGTGTAATGATGTGTTAATCATTTGATGGAAAACATGAGCTGTCACGATCTGATTTGGAACCCCAAAACACCCAAAGACAGAACGTCAGTTGAAACAAAGTTTATTCTGGCGAGAGGGATAATCCGGGGGCGTGGTCAAGGGAGTCCGGGTCCGGCAACGAGGAGGGCAATACTTAATCGACAGTCTCAGGGTAATCCAACAAGAGTGTCCAGGTCCAGTCCAGGGTCAGAGCCGGGGAAGCAGTCCAGAGGGGCAGGCGGGAACTCGGTGTCAGGCAGGCGGGGTCGATGCACGGGGAGGCAGACAGGTAAGCAGACAAATCAGACGAGGGTAAGGCAGACTCAGGAAACGGAGGCGAAGACAGGGCGGAGCACAGGCAGGCAGATAACTATGACGATTGCTGGAAGTTCTTACCGGTAAAGGTTCGAGACGTTCTGGCATTGAGGTCTGGCTGAAGCGGAGCTTAAGTAGGGGTGGAAACAGGTGGGAACGATGAAGGTGATTGCGGGTGTGGGAGGTGGTCAGGGGTGCCGGTAGGTGGAGCCAGCCCCAGAGCCGGGAGCATTACATGAGCAGTCAGATTTCTCTGACAAGCAGATGAAAAGTCAAAAGGATTCTGTGCTTTCTGTCCTTCAGAGCAGTTTTTAGCTGTGCAGCCTCCACAGAGACACGACACAGCATGCAGGAGAGTCTGAGGCTGAGCTAAAGAACGTCATGTTTTAGTCTGATCAAGGACTTCTGCAGAAGAACTCTGACAGCAGAGCCTCTCTGAGAAATGCAGACCCTCCTCTTCTGAAGTCATGATTCTATGGGAATAGCATGAAGAACACACTAAAGGGACTGAGGATAAAGGGGGGGCTCTGTCTGTCTGCCTGAGGGCCAAAGTTGGACCAGTGAGTCTGCTTTGGTTACTGAGCAGCTGGAAACATTCAGACCTGTGGAAAACCAGAGGGTGGAGATTTAAGGGGATTTAACCAGCATTCACTACAGTTACACCCGAAAACAGAAATACTTCTCTGATAACAGTTTCAAATGAAAACAGACATACATTTACAGAACATGACTGAACTGGTGGAGGACAGATACAATGATGTCCTTCTACACTTGACAATGTTCAGTGGATGAGGTGTGATATGTTTTTAGGTCATTCGGACTTCTATTTTTGAAATGACACCATTGGTTTTCCAGCTAAACAACCTTCAGTAAGCTGCCAACTGCTGAATACAAAGCGTGTAAGACTCAGGTGGTAGAATGTGGACAGAAGTCACGATGAATGTAGGTAGAACGTGTGTGTGAGCTGGTGTGTGTTTCCTCTGGAGGTAGAAAGTGTGTGTGAGCTGGTGTGTGTTTCCTCTGCAGGTAGAAAGTGTGTGTGAGCTGGTGTGACCTCAGCAGCATGGATCAGGGTGAGGACCCTAAAAGCTCTCTGTGTGGGGAACATGAGAGCCAGAGCAGAGCTCAGAGGTGAGAGGACCATCTCTAACTGTCAGAGACTCTTCTCCATGTCAGAACTCCCAGACTAAAGCAGCTTTATTCACAGGAAACAACCAGGACCAGAACCAGAACCCAGCTGTGTGTCCTTTAAAAGTGATGGATCAAAGGACTGGTTTATAGATTTCAAACCAGAGGTTCCATCAGACAAACAGTGAGTAGCTGTCAGTGTTCAGAGGAGGCTGGTTCCTGTTTCAGATCAGAACCAGTCTTCAGATTAACTTCTTCACACTTGCATCAGTTCTTGTTGTCTCTGTGATCCTAATTGTAATGTGATGCTTTTAGTTAAGTCCTGCAGCTCTTTACTCAAACAGAGGGAGAATATCAGTGAGCAGCTGTCCTGGCTGGAACATTGTTCCTCAGCAGCCACTCTGACAGGCCTCTGTAGACTCAAACACCATCACTGAGGAACTTAGTTTGAAGTAAACAAGTGTTTTTCTGTCAGGATCCTTCAGAGATCAGGACCTGGACCTGGACCGGAACTTGAATCTGGACCTGAACCCAGCTGTGTGTCCATGAAGAGTGACTGGTCAATGGGACATCCCATTAACTTCAAACCAGCCCATCCTCCATCCAGTGAGAGGTGAGCTGTGTGTAAATGCTGTAACAGCGTAACATGTATCAGAGTCAGTTTGAACAGTTTTGTTCCAACATGTGTTTAATGTGAGCTCAGCTCTGTTTCCATCATCTGTGTCCTCATTTGTGAAGCTCTGTGTGTTGACTGTGTCCCTTAAAGTCTGTGGTCAAAGTGGACAGAATGGACGTTGGAGGAGGACTTTGTGAGTGTGTGTAGGACAGCAGCTGGTCCAGCTGGTGTCCCTTTGTGCTTTGGCTCTAACACAGTGGAGCTAGGAGCTTCCACTCAGTGGCAGCTGCTGCTGGATGGAGGAGGACTGTCATAGAGGTGGATCTTGGAGGGAGGACTCAGTCGCGGAGATATGGAAACAAGGGGTTTATTTTAACAAAAACACACTCAAAAGGAGTGGGTGGTAGAGATGGTACAAAACAAGGCTGTGAAAAAACTATGAACCAAGTAACAAAGCAAGATTACATGACTGTGAAAAAAACATGGCTGTGACAAAAAACATGAACAAAGTATCAAATAAGGTAAACAAGGCTATGGCAAAAACATGGCTATGGTACAAAAACAAGACTATGGCAATAAAGTAAACTAGGCTGTGACAAAATCAAACCTGACGTGGGGTGACGAAAACAGACGGACGAAAACACACTGGCACAGGACATGGGAAACGAGGACTATTTAAACATATGAGGGAGGGGAACCCCAGGTGTACAAAATAGGTAATGAAGACATGACGAAACACCAGACATTCGCCCAGACGTGACAAGGACACAGAGGAAAAAGCTGTAGGTCTCAGTGGGACCAGCAGGACCTCTACAGGGAGTCCTCTGGTGGACTGGAACATCCACACATCAGCTCATGGACCTTCAGCTTGTGTTTGTCTGTGTGTGGACAGAAAGATCGTGAGCTCATTGTTCCTGATTCCTCCACAGAGTGGAGCAGCAGAGCTCAGAGGTTCCCAGTGCTCAGTCTGCCCAGCAGCATCAGACACAGCTGGACTCCATCTTCATGGTCTGGACATGTTCTTTTCTGTTTCTTCTAATAATTCATCTCCACGGTGCACTTTATAGACCAGTGGACTGTCAGAGTGTCAAACATGGAGCTGATGTTTGGCTCCATGTTTCAGTCTGATTGGATCATTCAGATCTTGTTCTCTTCCAGCTGCTGGAGGACAACATGCTGACTTTTGTGAAGGAGGAGCTGAAGAAGATCCAGAAGGCTCTGAGTCCAGATGACCCACCAGGCTCAGAGAGTCAGAGGGAGGATGAGGATGCAGAGCAGAGGAGCAACAGAGAGGCATTAGTGAAGATCACAGTGCACTTCCTGAGGAGAATGAAGCAGGAGGAGCTGGCTGAGCGTCTGAGGAGCAGTAAGAGGATTTCTCTGAAGGTTTAACCTGCTGGAGAAATGACACATTTATTCAGACGTTAAGACACTCAGTCTTTACATAGTCAAATGTTTATTTGATAAAATGATTTGTTGTCTTCATTCAGAACTTTCAGCTGCAGTTTGTAGCCGTAAACATAAGTCTGCCCTAAAGAAGAAGTTCCAGTGTGTGTTTGAGGGCATTTCTAAAGCAGGAAGCCCAACCCTTCTGAACCAGATCTACACAGAGCTCTACATCACAGAGGGAGGGGCTGCAGAGCTCAATGAGGAACATGAGGTCAGACAGATTGAAGCAGCATCCAGGAAAGCAGCCAGACCAGAAACAACCATCAGACAGGAAGACGTCTTTAAAAGCCCACCTGGAAAAGAGCAGCGAATCAGAGTAGTGCTGACAAAGGGAGTGGCGGGCATTGGGAAAACAGTGTTAACCCAGAAGTTCACTCTGGACTGGGCTGAGGGAAAAGCCAACCAGGACATCCACTTCCTGTTTCCCTTCACCTTCAGAGAGCTGAACGTGCTGAGGGGGAAACGGTTCAGCCTGCTGGGACTCCTGCACCACTTCTTTCCTGAAACCAGAGCAGCAGCAGCAGTCTGCAGCTCTGCAGAGTTCCAGGTTGTGTTCATCTTTGACGGTCTGGATGAGAGTCGACTTCCTCTGGACTTCCACAACCAGGAGCCCCTGACTGAGGTCACAGAGTCCAGCTCAGTGGACGTGCTGCTGACCAGCCTCATCAGGGGGAAGCTGCTTCCCTCCGCTCGCCTCTGGATCACCACACGGCCCGCAGCAGCCAATCAGATCCCTGCTGACTGCGTCGGCATGGTGACGGAGGTCCGAGGCTTCACGGACGAGCAGAAGGAGGAGTACTTCAGGAAGAGGTTCAGAGAGGAGACCCAAGCCAGCAGCATCATCTCCCACATCAGGAGCTTCCGGAGCCTCCACATCATGTGCCACATCCCGGTCTTCTGCTGGATCTCTGCTACAGTCCTGGAGGACGTGCTGAGGACCAGAGGGGGGGGGGCAGCTGCCCAGGAGCCTGACCGAGATGTACATCCACTTCCTGGTGGTTCAGGCCAAAGTGAAGAGGGTCAAGTACGACGGAGGAGCTGAGACAGATCCACACTGGAGTCCAGAGAGCAGGAAGATGGTGGAGTCTCTGGGAAAACTGGCTTTTGATCAGCTGCAGAAAGGAAACCTGATCTTCTATGAATCTGACCTGACAGAGTCTGGCATCGATATCTCAGCAGCCTCAGTGTACTCCGGAGTGTTCACACAGGTCTTTAGAGAGGAGAGAGGGCTGTACCAGGACCGGGTGTTCTGCTTCGTCCACCTGAGTGTTCAGGAGTTTCTGGCTGCTCTTCACGTCCATCTGACCTTCATCAGATCTGGAATCAACCTGATGGAAGAAAAACAAACATCCTCCCAAAGACTTTTCAAAAAACCAAAGCTAAAACATCTCCATCAGACTGCTGTGAAGGTGGCCTTACAGAGTCCAAACGGACACCTGGACCTGTTCATCCGCTTCCTCCTGGGTATTTCTCTGGAGACCAATCAGAGGCTCCTACGAGGCCTGTTGATACAGAAAGGAAGTAGTTCACAGACCAATCAGGAAACAGTTCAGTACATCAAGAAGAAGCTGAGTGAGGATGTGTCTGTAGAGAGAAGCATAAACCTGATCCACTGTCTGAATGAACTGAATGATGGTTCTCTGGTGGAGGAGGTCCAACAGGCCCTGAGTTCAGGAAGTCTCTCCACACATAGACTGTCTCCTGCTCAGTGGTCAGCTCTGGTCTTCGTCTTACTGTCATCAGAGGAAGATCTGGATGAGTTTGATCTGAAGAAATATTCTGCCTCAGAGAAGGCTCTTCTGAGGCTGCTGCCAGTGGTCAAAGCCTCAAAGAAAGCTCTGTGAGTACAGATAGAGATTTATCTCTTTTGAAGTGGTCACTTATTAGCTGGAGTCACAGTCAAACTCAGTTACCACTTTAGGCAGCACAACATAACTGAGGAACAACAATATGTAATAATATAAATACAACATGAACTAAAACATATTAAATTAATAAAGCAATACCATCTTTAACTCGTCACAAATTAGAGAACATTAAAGTGACAAAATAACTGGGGTTAACTTTAATAAAAAAAGTCCCTCCGCCCTTCAGTCTTAGGATTGTGGTATGTCGCTGTCTTTCACCTCCAGCTGGTGTATTTTAGCAGAGCCTCAAAGAAAAAGTGTAAGTCAACCATTTAGACAAATATTAACTAAAATGCATCCCATTAGATAATACTTCAATTATTATAATAACTTTTGTGTAATCTAAAACTAATGAATGTGAAAGAATACTAACACTTATATGTGGTGGTAGGAGCACCTAGCACAGCAGGAGATGTGTCCAGTCTGCCGTCCACAGAAATGTTTCTCTGTGTCTGCTGTTTCCTCCTCAGACTGTCAGAGTCACAACAACTGCTAGTCCTCACTTTGTCTGAACTTAGCTTCGGTTTTGTGGTTGTTTTTTTTATTTTTAAATATAGAAGTTTCTGCTTTTTTTTAATTTAGTGGATTTTTTCAACATTATCTTCATGATCTAAAGAACAGAACTCTACAAAAGCTGTTTGACTGATGATGATCTAATCCATTTATGTTCTATCTTCTCAGACTCAGGAGCTGTAACCTCTCAGAGAGAAGCTGTGGAGCTCTGTCCTCAGTTCTAAGCTCCCAGTCCTCCACTCTGACACATCTGGATCTGAGTAACAACCAGCTGAGGGATTCAGGAGGGAAACATCTTTCTGCTGGACTGGAAAGTCCAAACTGCAAACTGGACACTCTGAGGTTGGTTCACTGCAGTCTTTCCATGTTTTTGAATGAATCCTCCATTTTACTTTTCACCTGCCAAATGAATCCTTCTCTCTATTTGACTGAGTGAAAAAAGCTTGGTTACTTAGAAAACTGCTGCCTTCACTTGTCTCTGTATGTTCCTACCAGACTTCTTTGTAAAGACTGAGGCTGTGTGATCTGGGTGGGTTGGTGCTGACTGTAAAGAGTTCTCAGATATTTTCTCACACTAGATGAGTACTTCAACCTCACATTTATGTTCATGTTAACCCTTGAAAAAGGTAACATTGTGATTGTTTATTAAGAGCAGGTGGACGTTGTTTGCTCAGAAATTTCTAATTTTTACACTGGAATATTTTATGTAGACAGAACTGTTGATATTCGCAAACAAATGAGAGAATTCTCCACTAGAGTACACAATGCATTGTGGGTAACGTGATTCAAATTACTCCACATGATATGTTCTTTCTTAGACTGGAAGGCTGCAGTTTGTCAGAGAGCAGCTGTTCTTCTGTGGTCTCAGCTCTGAAGTCCAACCCCTCCCATCTGACAGAACTGGACCTGAGCCTGAACCCCATCTCTGAGTGTGTGATGAAGGAGCTGAGCAGCTTTCTGCAGAGTCCACTCTGTGGACTGAAGACTCTGAGGTCAGACTAGTTAGTGGTTAGCTCAGATCAAAACAATGAGGTGAAAGTTGTGCTGACATAAATGGATGACAGAAGACTTTTAAAGATTCCTACTGAGAGTCTTAGTGTTAAAATCCATCCATCCATTATCGTTACGGCTTATTCCCTGATGGGGTCGCGGGGAGAACTGGAGCCTATCCCAGTGGTCAATGGGCGAGAGGCAGGGTACACCCTGGACAGTCCGCCAGTCCATCACAGGGCCACACACAAGACATACAAGGACAAACAACCACTCACACACACTCCTAAGGGCAATTTGGAATGTCCAATCAACCTAACATGCAGGTTTTTGGACTGTGGGAGAAAACCGGAGAATCCGGAGAGAACCCACGCAGACACAGGGAGAACATGCAGACTCCACTCAGAAAGTTCCTGGGTCCCCTGGCACTCGAACCCAGAACATTCTTGCTGGGAGGCGACGGTGCTAACCACCACATCACTGTGCTAGTGTTAAAATTATTTTTTAATTTGTTTAGTTTATTAAATTTTAATTACAATGATTACAAGAAGTCACATTTCATTCAACTGTTGACTGGGAGACGCTGATTGGAGATCGGTAAGCGCATTGACTCATTTCCGTTCCCGGTGTTTGTGTGGTGGTAGCATGTTTTCTCTGCTCTCGCTAAATACCAGCTCTCGCTAACTACCAGATAAAATTAATACATTTCCGTAAGTTTGCCTAAGCACCAATAGTTCTTTCCATCTTTAGTGACTGCTGTTCTGTCTTATAGCTGTTGTAATAAAAAGTTCCGGTGGCCAACCCTACCGTGCTTTAGTTTACCCGTTAGTGACTTTAGTTTAGCAGCTAGCGATGGCTTCTCCCTCTCGCTCTCCCGCTTTCTCTTGCACGGTGTGTCTGATGTTCAGTTACTCTTCTGCCTCCTTTAATGGTAGTGGAATGTGTAACAAGTGTAGTTTATTTTTAGACATGGAGTCGAGGTTCAGTGAGTTAGAAGCTCGGCTCCACACCGTAGTAGATCAGCCCTTAGCTAGTGTAGCAAAGTGTAGCCAGTCCCAGGTAGTCGGTGCGGACCGACCTGAGTTAGCATCTGATAGCCATCCCAGCCCCCGGCCTCTCCTGAGCAGCCAGGAAAGTTGGGTGGCTGTCCGAGGGAGGAAAAGCCATAAACAGTCTAAGCCCTTAGTGCCCCCTCAATCTGTTCACGTTGCTAACAGATTTTCCCCACTCAATGAGCCACTCGCCGAGAAACCAACCCTAGTCATAGGCAGCTCAATTCTGAGAAATGTGAAACTAACAAACCCAGGGAGTGTAGTTAAGTGTATTCCTGGGGCCAGAGCGGCCGACATTGAGTCTTATTTGAAACTTCTGGCTAAGGGTAGACGTAGATACAGTAAGATTGTTATCCACGTAGGCGTTAATGACTCCCGGTTACGTCAGTCAGAAGTCACTAAGTTAAATGTGGAGTCAGTTTGTAGATATGCTAGAACAATGTCGGACACCGTAGTTTTCTCTGGCCCCTTGCCCAACCTGGTTAGTGATGACATGTATAGCCGCATGTCATCTTTTTGTCGATGGCTGGCGAGGTGGTGCCCAGCCAATAATGTGGTCTTTGTGGATCACTGGCAGTCTTTCTGGGGAAGACCTGGCCTGATTAGGAATGACGGCATCCATCCCACGGGGCAGGGAGCCGCTCTCATTTCTTGAAACCTAGCCAACTTTGTTAGCAGACTAGATCGGTGACAGTCCAGGGTTGAGAGGAGGAAGCGGAGTTGTAATGTAACCCTCTTCTCTGCTCCTCCATTCCAGGAGTTGCTTAATGAAAAACCTATAGAGACGGTGTCTGTCCCTCGGTCATTGAATTTTTTTTAAATCAAGGGTAAACAGCGGAGTTCTGCATAAAGACCTCATAAAAATTAAAACCACAAGAGAAAAAGTGCATACGAATAGGAGTGTAAAATGTGGACTCTTGAATATCAGATCTCTCTCTTCTAAAGGTGTGCTAGTAAATGAACTAATATCAGATTATGAAATTGATTTATTTTGTTTTACTGAAACCTGGCTGGGTGATGGAGAATATGTGTCCCTAAATGAATCCACCCCTCCCAGTCATAGGAATACTCACATTCCTCGAAGCACAGGTCGAGGAGGTGGAGTTGCAGCTATCTTTGACACAGTCTTGTAATCAGCTCTAAACCTAAACTGAATTATAACTCTTTTGAAAGCCTTGTTCTGAGTCTTTCCCACCCAAGCTGGAAATCACTGCAACCTATTCTATGTATTATAGTGTACCGAGCACCCGGTCCATACTCTGAATTTTCTGTTTTTGTCAACTTTAGTCCTTAAAACGGACAAAGAAATTAACGTAGGCAATATCCATGTGGATGCTGAGAATGACAGCCTCAGTACAGCGTTTATCTCTCTGTTAGATTCCATTGGTTTATCTCAGAGTGTTCACAAACTGACTCACTGTTTTAACCACACCCTTGACCTTGTTCTGGTGTGTGGTATTGAAATTTAACATTTAATAGTGTTCCCACAGAATCCGTCTTTATCTGACCACTGTTTTCTAACTTTTGAGCTTTTCCTGCTGAATTTATTTTTATTTATTTATTTAATCAGGACAGTGCAAATTAATGAACAATCTCATGCAGATTGTAAATGAGCCAGATTCTAGCATAGTTGCTAATTCGCATCTGTCGTCCTGAGGCAGGAAGACAAAACAACACAAAATCACATAATACAACATCAGTTAAAACAGAGACACACGTTCAGACAGTGACATTACAAAATTAAAATTAGTGATTGCATGACTGGGAACTTACCCTCCACTCGGTAAAAATGTCTACCAAAGATGCCTGTCTAATAGTGCTATAGCTAAATTTAAGGATGTGATTCCTGCTGCGAACAGCACTCGCTGTAACCCCCCTAAAAAAGGAAAATATTTAAATAAAGACGGTTAGGTCCATGGTATACTACTAAAACCCTCAAATTAAAGCAGATATCTCGGAAACTTGAGAGAAACTGGCGTTAGACCAAGCTGGAAATTTTTCATTTATCTTGGCAAGATAGTCTTAAAGCTTATAGGAAGGCCCTCCGTGATGCCATAGCAGCGTACTACTTGTCTGAGGAAAATAGGAACAATCCCAGGTTTCTTTTCAGTCATGTCGCAAGGCTGACAGAGAGCCACAGCTCTATTGAGTCAAGTACTCCCATAGCTTTCACTAGTCATGACTTCATGAGCTTCTTTAATGATAAAATTCTAACTATTAAAAACAAAATCCACCAAGACTGGCCCTCAACTGGCACCGACTTATCTTTAAACTCAGAAACCGTAGGAACAACTGTAAAACCAGTTAAATGTTTTGACTGCTTTGCTTCCCTCAATCTTTGTCAACTAACTTCAGTCATTTCTTCATCAAAACCATCAACCTGCCTCTTGGACCCCATCCCGACTAGGCTGCTTAAAGAAGTCCTCCCGTTAGTCGGTACTGACAGGATGGTACTCAAACAGGACCCAGATGCGGAGAAACACACTCGCAAGGAGCAGAAGCAAAGTACAAAATAAAGTTCACTCAACCGGGATGGTTCAGAAAAGTAACTAATCAAGATCACTGAAAATGCGAGGATAGCTAAATCTCATAAACAGAGTAACAAAATAATACTGACGGAGAGTCAGAACAAAAACTAGGAGGATCGAAATCAAAATCACGAGGTTGAAGGCGCAAGGCAAGGAATAGCTATGACTTTGGTTGCTCTGTATGACGTGGGGCCAAACACACTGGCACCAGACAAGGGAAACGCGGACTATTTAACACATGAGGGAAAGGGAACCCCAGGTGAACATAATAGATGATCAGGAAGACAATTGGAAAGATGACACACCGGGAAGTGCAAGTGACCTGAAACGAGATGAGGGTTACTTATCAAAATAAAACAGGAAATGACTAGACCACATGGAGACAGGACAAAACCCCAGCTAGATAACACCACTGTGACAGGTACTTCTCTGCTACACGCAATCAATCGGTCCTTATCAACAGGCTACTTTAAAGTAGCTGTAATTAAACCTCTTTTGAAAAAGCCTAACCTGGACCCAGATGTTTTAGCCAACTATACAGACCTATATCTAAGCTTTCATTTATCTCCAAGGTCCTGGAGAAAGCAGTAGCCAAACAGCTGTGTGACTATCTACATAGCAATAGCTTGTTTGAAGATTTTCAGTCAGGATTTAGAACTCATCATAGCACGGAGACAGCACTGGTGAAAATTACTAATGACCTCCTAACGGCATCAGACAAAGGACTTGCCTCCGAATTGGTTTTATTAGATCTTTGTGCTGCTTTTGACACCATTGACCATCAGATCCTACTACAGAGACTGGAACATTTTATTGGGATTAATGGATGGTAAGATGGTTTAGGTCCTATTTATCAGATCGGTTTCAGTTTGTGCATGTTAACTATGAGTCCTCCATGCATGCCAGAGTTAGCTATGGAGTTCCACAAGGATCCATTCTCGGACCAATCATCTTTACGTTATATATGCTTCCTTTAGGTAATATTATCAGGAAACACTCTATCAACTTTCATTGATATGCAGTTGATAATCACTTATATCTATCGATCAAGCCAGATAACACTCATCAGCTAGCTAAGCTTCAAATGTGTCTTCAGGATGACCTGCAATTTTCTAATGTTAAACTCAGGTAAAACTGGAGTTATTGTTCTAGGGCCTAAGCACCTCTGTGACGCATTATCTAGAGATATAGTTTCCCTTGATGGCCCCAGCACTACTGTGAGAAATCTTGGAGTTATCTTTGATTAGGACATGTCGTTTAACTCTCACATTAAGCAAATTTCAAGAAGTGCATTCTTTCACCAACGTAATTGTGGCAGTCGTGCCACCGTGGGTGCCCCGATAGAGTCTTTTAGAGACCAAGATTCGTTGGTTCAACAGGTTTATTTGAGCGTGTGTGCCACCCGCACACACACTCTCTCACGCACGCACACACTCACGCACGCCCGGCTTGGGCTCTTTTGTTTGTCAGCCGTTGCCTGTTCCGTTCCGAGCTGGTGGCTTGTCCTGCTCCAGCTCTCCCTCCTCCCAGGTCCAGCACGCTACTCTTTTTACAGAGGGGAGAGTGATTAACCAACTGGTTCCAGGTGAGCTTAATCACCTCCCCTGGCACTGGTCCCTGAGCTTTCCCCACACCTCCCCTCCTACAGCTGAGCGCCACGCCCCCTCCACAGTAATATTGCAAAAATCAGGAGCATCCTGTGTAAAAATGATGCAGAAAAACTAGTCCATGCATTTGTTACATCTAGGCTGGATTACTGCAACTCCCTGTTATCAGGCTCTTCAAAAAAGTCCATTAAGACTGTTCAGCTGATCCAGAATGCTGCAGCACGTGTTCTTACAGGAACCAGAAAAAGAGATCATATTTCTAATGTCTTGGCTTCTCTGCACTGGCTTCCTGTTAAATCCAGAATATAATTTAAAATGGTTTTCCTTACATACAAAGCTCTTCATGGTCAGGCCCCATCTTATCTTAACGAGCTCATAGTACCTTACTGCCCTACCAGAGCACTGCACTCCCAGAATGCAGGGTTACTTGCGGTTCCTAGAGTCTTGAAAAGTAGAATGGGAACCAGAGTGTTTAGCTATCAGTGACCTAGTGCTGCTCTTGGTGGGAATTGTTGGGCTTCTGTAAATAACTTCAGAATAGGGTCTGACCTGCTCTGTTTGGAAAGCACTGTGAGATAACTGTTGTTGTGACTTGGCACTATATAAATAAAATTGAATTCAATTGAACTGTTTAAAACTCAACTCCTACAGAGCAGATTAATTCATGTCCGTCCTCTCTACCACCAGACTCAATTCATGTTTTATTTGAGTCATGCTTTCGGGTTAACCGAATGATTTCCCTTTATTCATGATTCAGGGTGAAGAAATATGAATGAGAGCTCTTTTTCACTGGTTCTGTTTGGCTGTTTTAACCAGCATCCCTTTGGCTTCAGCTCACATCTTTTATTCTTTATGCAGGTTGGTGAACTGCTGTTTGTCAGAGATCAGCTGGTCTGTTGGGGTCTCAGCTCTGAAGTCCAACCCCTCCCACCTGACAGAACTGGACCTGAGCTGGAACAACATCTCTGACTGTGTGATGAAGGAGCTGAGCAGCTTTCTGCAGAGTCCACTCTGTAGAATGAAGACTCTGAGGTCAGACTCCAGGTTTTAGTGGTTAGTTCAGATGAAAGCTGTGATGCTCTTCATGGTAAAGGCTTCAGCTCACGTCTTTTGAACTTTATGCAGATTGAGGGGCTGTGGTTTGTCAGAGTCCAGCTGTCCTTCTCTGGTCTCAGCTCTGAAGTCCAACCCCTCCCATCTGACAGAACTGGACCTGCGTTCCAACAACCTGAAGCGGTCAGATGTTCAGCAGCTGTTGGATCTGCAGCAGTGTCCACACAACAAACTGCAGACTCTGAGGTCAGTAGGCAGCTGGAGGTCCATACTGAACTAAACCCCAGTTGTTACCAGAGCAAAGATCCAGTTTCCTGTGAACCTGCAGCCTTCTCAGTGTGAAGCTGTGAGAGCAGAATGATGTCAGGCTTTTTCAGCAGAGTCAGCAGAAAGAGCCAGCAGCCAATCAGATCAGCAGCTCTTTGTGTGCGTGGTGCTGAAAGCCTCTGCAGGTGTGTGAGCTTCCAGCTCCAACATGTGGACATGAGAGCTGACAGGAAGCTGCTCTGAACAGGACTGAAGTCCCTGCTGCTCTGGTTTTGCTGGATGTCGCTCCCTGCTGACAGCTGAGGAACAAACACTCCTTTATCTGCTCTCTTTCTGCTTCTCTCTGCAGATGGTGGTCGTGATGAAAAAGAGGATGAGAGCTGAGAGGAAGATCTGTGTCATGCGGATCCATACAGGATGAAGCAGCAGCAGCCTGTTTACAGACAGACTCAGATGAAGTCTGTTACTGTTATGGGCTTTTCCTTCTCTTGGGTCTTTTGAAGTGGCCTCAACCTGACGTTAGTTGGGCTGCAGGCTGAGGCCCACAGCGATCGGTGAAACACAGAAACTCTTGAGGCTCCACCTCCTTCACTTCCCAGTAGGCCCCAGCTGATGGAATGCCCTTGGTGTCACCTCACCCTCTCACCTTTTTTATTTATTTATTTTTACCTTGTCCTGTTCAGCATTATGGCTGCAGAACTGAAATCTGAGTACCGTGCTGTACTTGTAATGTACTCAGTACGGACCCAAAAGCACCCAGAGACGGCACGGTCAGTTTAACAGGGTTTATTAGCAGAGTGGGGCAGATCAGAGGCGTGGTCAGAACAGTCCAGGTTCGGTAACGGGAGGTCCAGCCAGCGAAGGTACCACGGGTAATCCAACTCGTGGTGAGGGGCCGGTCGAGGGTCAGAGCCAGGGAAGCAATCCAGAGGAGCAGGCGGGACCACGGAGTCAGGGGCAGGCAAGGTCAGAGCACGGGGAGGCAGGCAGGATCCAGAGACTGGCGGAGCAGAACTCAGGCAGGCAGACTAAACAGACAGGGGTCAGGCAAGCTTGGGAATGGAAGTCAAACAGGTCGTGATCAGGCAGGCAGACAGAATGAAGGAATAACGCTGGAAGTTCTCACCGGTTGGCTCGAGACGTTCTGGCACTGGAGACAGGTTGTGGCGGAGCTTAAGTGTAGGGGGAAACAGGTGGAAGCGATGACAGCTGATTGCGGAGTGAGGAAACTGAGCAGGTGTGCAGACAGGGTGGAGCCAGCTCCAGTGCCAGGAACGTAACAGTACTGAACAAATTTGCTTTGCCAAGGGAGACTCTGTTGGTAAGACGCCCCCCTTGATTACCAAAAATGGCTTTATTTATTCATTTTTGTTAACACAATTACATGTGTCCAATAATGCCAAACTTGACAAAGGGACAGGGAAGAAATAATAGCAGTGGAAAGGAGAGAGATCCTTTAGTTAGAATTAGAAGGAAAAAAAAGAAAAAAAGGAAAGATAACAAGACCATAGAACCAGCTCTTATGTCTGTAAAAAAGAAACTGTTCCTTGTAGAAGTCACGTGGTTTGCCAAAATGGCTGCTTGATTCAGAGCTTTGCTCGTTCTTTACCCAAACCCTCTTCAAAACTAAGATAACGCCAGTATATTCATTATACTTTTGGTACAAAGTATTTCATGCGTAACCACTCGACTACATCGTGGGGGAAAGCTGCTCACGACTCTTAAGGGCACCTCGCTTTCCAAAATGGCTGAATCACCTGTTGAAGCTAAGACCCCAAGTCTAACTTAAGATAGTGTAGCTACAGCACTGACCGCTATAAGGTCCATAATTGAGGGGCATTGAGTCTCTCAATTTAACAATGACCTATCTTGGAGGTAGGGTCGACCAAGCCAAGACAACAATCTCCCGCTTGGAAGATGAGGAGACCCAAGGTAGTGTAGTTAGGAAGGACTTGGTTAAGAAGAACGAACGGCTGAGGGAAAAACTGACTGCGCTAGAGGGTTTCCCCCGTGGCCAGAATATTAGACACTCAGGCATCAAGAAAGGGACAGAGGGCCATGATTTAGAGGGGCTCTTGAAGAACGTATTACATGACTCATTGTAAATTGAGATGGATGCTTTGTACGAAGTGGACCGAATACATCGGATACAAGGTCGTGACTCATGGCACATCATATGTTTTCTACGGGATAAAGGCAAGGCGACAGTTTTGGCCACAGCGAGGAGAAAGAAACTGATCATCTGGAACGGAATGGAATCATTTCTTTCCGGAGTATGCGCAGGATGTTCAAGAGAAAAGTAGGAAATTTGACAATATTGACTACTCACTTCACTTCACCATCATGACCTTCTCGGTGCTCGGGCAGAGACATCAGTTTTCAACTCTGGCAGAGCTTAAGCGATTTCTAAACAGGTTGGCGCCTGATCACCAGGCAGATGGAGACGAGGGAGTGAATAACCTATTCCACTTCAGTAACTTTTCTAGTGATGATGTAGCCCAATTATTTGACAGATGGACCATTTTGGGTAAACAACTTTTCGTGGACATTAACATTACAGACATTTCTCTGCCTCTTTATGCTATATAGAAAAAATTGTCCATGTAGGTTGGCTTGTGTGCCTTTTTTTCTCTTTTTTGGTATTTTTGTTTCATTGCTGGGTTTGCTGAGCAGAATATAACTACTGCCAGGATTAGACCTATTTCCATTAGTTAGATTTTGTTGGAAGGGATGGTGTTATATTTATGAAGACCCAAAAATATACAGACAATTAAGTTTGGGTGTACTTTCAGGCAGAGAGATGACATTGAATTTGAAAGTTGTGAATATTGTAAAGAAGAGGGCTTTGCCAACATGACTGTTCTGTAATCTCTGCTGAAGGAGAATTACGCACGTCTATTCGGGAGTTCTTACTTACAAAAGCGCACAGAGCTGGCTGCACCTTTCACCAATATTGTCTTGATCACCAAACTTGCATATCTTGCTGACATTTTCGCTGAGCTGAACAAACTTAACAGTTCTATGCAAGCTCGCAACACACATGCCTTTCAGCTGTATGACAGGATGGAAGGCTTCGTCAAAAAAATCAGAAGGAAGGAGCGTGTCGGGGAGGGAATATTTTCCATATTTCCATCAGTGGATGAGCTGGGAGAGTCTGCTATGCTCTCGCTTCCTATAACACAGGCGATTCTTGCGCTTTTGGTGGCGCTCCATGGTCAATATATATATATATATATACTACTTTTCTGAGACCGACTTCTGGCGCAGGGACAAGATACAGTTTACATTCAGAGACAATTCTGCAGACGGTGCACGCCTGGCGGTGACAGAGGAGGATCAGCTCATTGAACCACTGACAGGACGTTCAGAAACATATATGAAACTAAACCACTCACCCAGTTTTGGATATCTTGGCATAAAGACTTTCCACAACTGGCAGCAAAAGCAATGATGAGCCTGTTGCCCTTTGCTACAACATATCTTTGTGAAAGTGGATTTTCCTTACTCAGCTAGCTGAAAAACAAATACAGGTCAAACTGCAGCCTGAAGCTGATATGACTCTATGCCTGACAACCTCCATACGTCCAAGGTTAGACAAGTTGTGTGCTACTCATCAGGGTCAGACATCTCACTAATGAAGGTATACCAGCCATAGATGGTTTGAGGATTCACTGCCCAAACTGCATGTTTAAAATCAAAACATGAATCTGTCAGTCACGTTAATAGTTCATTATTGTATGCAATATAACAGGTATGTTTATGCATGCCAGTGGCACTAACAAAGATCACTAGTTTTCCTTTCCACATTTATGTTTTAAAAATGTTCATTTGAATAGCTTTTATGGATAATTACATGCAATTGACAGACATTGTTGTTCTTGATAGGTATCAGATTATTGTGTTATGTTATGTTTACAAATGGCAGTGGCATGGCCGCCCTACTCACTGTACCTCACACGTGTTTAAAATAAAAACATGAAAATATAATCCTGTGTATTATTCCACTGACCACTACCTGGTGGTGAGTTTGCTCCAATGGTGGGGGCGGATGCAGGTGAGACCAGGGAGGCCCAAACGCATGGTGAGGGTCTGCTGGCGGAGTCCACTGTTAGGCGGAGCTTTAACTCCCACCTCCGGGAGAACTTCGAGCACATCCCGGGGATGGCGGGGGACATTGAGTCCGAGTGGGCCATGTTCTGCGCCTCCATTAATGACGCGGCCTCCCGGAGCTGCGGTCGCAGGGCTGTCGGTGCCTGTCGTGGCGGCAACCCTGGAACCTGCTGGTGGAAACCAGCGGTGAGGGATGCCCTCGGGCTGAAGAAAGAGTCCTAGCGGGCCTTTTTGGCCTGTGGGACTCCAGAGGCAGCCGATGGGTATCGGCAGTCCAAGCGACATGCGGCTCGGGTGGTCGCCGAGGCAAAAACTAAAAGTTTGGGGAGGCGATGGAAAAAGACTTCCCTATGGCTTCGAGGCAATTCTGGTCCACCCTCCGGCGTCTCAGGCGGGGGGAAGCAGTGCTCCTCCAACACTGTTTACAGTGGGGGTGGTGTTCTGTTGACCTCAACTCGTGACGTTGTGGGTCGGTGGGCGGAGTACTTCGAAGACCGCCTCGATTCCACTTGCGCATCCTCGATTGGAGGGGCAGAGCCTGAGGGTCTGGAGTTGGGCTCTTGAGGTAGTCAAAAAGCTCCACGTTGGCAAGGATCCGGGGGTGGATGAGATTTGGCCGGGGTTCCTCAAGGCTCTGGACGTTGTGGGGCTGCGTTGGCTAATGTGTTTCTGCAACATCACATGGACATCAGGGGCAGTTCCGTTGGATTGGCAGACTGGGGTGGTGGTTCCCCTATTTAAAAAGGGGGACCGAATGGTGTGTTCCAACTACAGGGGGATCGCACTCTTAAGCCAGCCTGGGAAGGTCTGTTCAGCGGTTCTGGAGAGGAGGGTCCGTTGGATAGTTGAATCTCGGATTGAGGAGGAACAGTGTGGTTTTCGTCCTGGTCGTGGAACGCTGGACCAGCTCTATACCCTCAGCGGGGTCCTAGAGGGTGCATGGGAGTTTGCCCAACCAGTCCACATGTGTTTTGTGGACTTGGAAAAGGCGTTCGATTGTGTCCCTTGGTTTATCCTGTGGGGGGTGCTCCAGGAGTATGGGGTACCTGGCCCTTTGTTGCGGGCTGTTCGGTCCCTGTACGACCGGAGTCAGAGCTTGGTTCGCATTGCCAGTGGTAAGTAGGATCCGTTTCCGGTGGGAGTTGGACTCCGCCAAGGTTGCCCTATGTCTCCGGTCCTGTTCCTAACTTTTATGGACAGGATTTCTAGGTGTAGCCGAGGTGTTGAGGGTGTCAGTCTTGGTGGCCTTAGG